TGTTCCTTGTCCACCTGGGCTGCAATGGGAACCAGCTCCTTCTCAGCAAAGTCCCGGCACGTTTGACGCAGCATCTGGTGTGTCTCAGGCAGTTCCACAGACTGGTAGATGGTGTGTAACTGTCGCCAGTCCCAAGGATGGACAGCTGCCAACAAGAAAGGAGACTGTAAGGGATTTTTTTTTTTAGAGACAGAGTCTCACTTTGTTGCCCTCAGTAGAGTGCCATGGTGTCACCTCACAGCAACCTCCAACTCCTAGGCTTAGGTGATTCTCTTGCCTCAGCCTCCTGACTAGCTGGGATTACAGGCACCCGCCACAACACCCAGGTATTCTTTTTGTTGTTGCAGTTTGGCTGGGGCCAGGTTTGAACCCACCACCCTTAGCATATGGGGCCAGCGCCCTACTCACTGAGCCAGAGGCACCACCCAGGATCTTTTCTTTTCTTTTTTTGAGACATAGTCTTATTCTGTTGCCCTCAGTAGAGTCCTGTGGCATCACAGCTCACAGCAACCTCAAACTCTTGGGTTTAAGTGATTCTCTTGCCTCAGCCTCCCAAGTAGCTGGGACTACAGACGCCACCACAATGCCCAGCTAATTTCTGGTTGCAGTTGTCAACCAAAAACTAACTGCAGTTGTTAACCAAAGGCTTTGTTTGGCAGGCCTGGACTGGGTTCGAACCCGCCAGCCCCCGGTGCATGTGGCTGGCACTATAGTCACTGAGCTACAGGCCCGGAGCCTAGGGATCTTAAATAATGATAATAATAATTATCTATTAACTTAGTGGTTCTCTACCAGAGAGGATTTTGCCACTTTAGGGACACCTGGCAATGTCTGGAGACATCTTTGGTTGCTACAACTGAAGAGCAGAGCGCCATACTGATATTCAGTGGGTAGAAGACAGTAATACAGGTAAACAAACTATGATGCACAGGACAACCCCACAAAAAAGAATTATCAATCCAAAATGTCAATAGTGGTGAGGGTGAAAACCCCACCTAGTGCGCACTATGTTTACCATGCGCACTAAACACTTTATATTCACCATGTCATTCAATCTTCTGTATAATACCAATTATATAAAAGACCTCAGTTCTGTGGCCTCAGGCAAGGGTTTCAACTTCCCTGAGCCTTAGTATCTATAAAATGTAAAAGACAATAGTATTGTCCTAGGAACTTCTGGGAGTGGGAGGATTAAAGAAACAGTAACTGTAGCACTTCCCATTGCTCTCTATTTCCCTTTATTGTTACAATTCAGGAAAAAAAAATAAAAATTATATATATATATATATATATATAAAAAATTCAGGATGCAAGGGTTATTCTGGACCAGGCAAAGGAAGCACTAGCCAAAGGTGTCACTGCTGCTACAGCTGGAGACAAATGGTAAGACAGAAAAGATACTGCATTAAATAATCACCAGCCTGGGCAACAAAAAATTAAAAAATGAGCCAGGGACGGTAGCATGTGCCCGTAGTCTCAGCTACTCAGGAGGGCTAAGGAGGGAGGATAGCCTGAGCCTAGGAGTTTGAGGCTGCAATGAGTTATGATGACGTCACTGCACTCTAGCCTGGGGGGACAGAGCAAGACTCTGTCTCAAAAACAAACAAACAACAAAAAACAATAGCGAACATTTACAGAGCACCTCCTGTTATATGCCGAAATGCCAAGCACTGTACTGTTTTACATACCATGTGATTATTTCTTCCAACAACTACTTCACTGTGGCCATTTTATACACGGGCCAACTGAGGCTGAGAGGGGCTGAGCGTCTTGCCCAAGGTCACAGATCCGAGTCTGGCTCTGATCCATGCCCAGGCCTGGCTCCGGAGAAAGGGCGCACCCTGAACCTCCGCTGGGAACTGAGCTGGCACAGGGATCACAAAGGTGGTGGTGGGCCGAGCAGGAATCTCCAAAGGGCGGGCTGAGCAGGTGCAAGAGCTGCCGAACTGGGGCAAAGGCCACGCATGTTCCCGGGGCTGGGGGTGGACAGGGCGCCCCGCCCGCCCACTTGGCCGGCACGGGCCGCGGCCCCGCTGTGCGAAGCCCGAGAGCACTCACCTCTGCGGAAGGGGCCGCAGGCCCGGGAGAACAGCAAGGTGGCCATGGACGACCGACAAGGTGCTGGGTGGGTTTGGCCTCCTCGACCTCCGCTTGCGAGCGCGCCGTTCCGGACTGTTGGGGGGCGGGGCCTCGGAAGAGGCGTCTCGAGGGCGGGGCGTCCCGGGGGCCCGCCCAAGAAGATGAACCATTAAGTCTCCTGCCCGAGTGAAGCCTCAGAGGTTGGTTTCCTAGCTGTGCCCTCATCCGTTAGTAAAAATGTTCACAAAACAAAGCCAAGCACACAGCCCCGCAAAAGGCCACAGAGCTCTTCTTAAAGCATAAGTAAGATAGCTGTCGTCGGTTTAATGGCTTCATTGACAGGCCCATCTCTCCTAAAATCCAATTCCATGCCTAAAATCACCCTAGGACTTGCCTTGCCTACCTCTCCAGCCCCATGCCCGTTACTCCGTGCCAATTTATGTTACAGCCACATATGGCAGCTCTTCTGTAAAACCCCCTAGCTTGTTCCTGCCTCTGGGTCTTTGCCCTCACTGTTCCTGATGCATGGAATGCACCTCTTCTTTCCGGCTTCACTCACCCAGGTCTGCCCTAACAACATCAGGTACATGTTTATCTCCTACTTCCTCTCTGTCCATAGTTCTTTTTACACACAGCACTTCATATATGAAATTATTCTATGTATCATCTGCTCCTCTAATCTCTTTGCTCCAAGAAAATCAAGGGCCTTGTCTTGCTCTGGTGCTGAACATTTAGGCTCATGGAATTGTGTTGCCAGGGACGATTTCTTTTCCCCAGAGGTTGGGAAGATGAGGTGGAGTTGCTACTTCTTTTCCACTGCACTACTGACTCCTAATTGGAGAACAGAGCCCTGACAGTTAGGTACATTTGACCTTCAGCTTCCTCACCAGGGCACCTTCGCCCTAAAAAAAACTATTCTGATTTCACTTGCCCCACCCCCACCCAGGGTCTTCTAATTGACACAAATGTGAATCTGACTCCCTCAGCTTCCTGGGCATCACCCACACCCTGCTAGGTACCCACATATCCCTTCCCAAACTCAGCCAGGCATCTGTCCCCAGCAGTGGCCAACATGCCAAAAATTGTCTTCCCCCCAGACTTAGTTCTACTTCCTACAAGAAAACAATCAAAAGATGTAGCAAAGTCCTTAATGTTACCTTTCATTTTAAAAAATGCATGTAAGGGGTGGCACTGTGGGTAGGGCATTGGCCCCATATACCAAGGGTGGCGGGTTCAAACCCAGCCCCGGCCACAACTGCACCAAAAAAAATAGCCAGGTGTTATGGCAGGCGCCTGTAGTCCCAGCTACTCCAGAGGCTGAGGCAAGAGAATTACCTAAGCCCAGGAGTTGGAGGTTGCTGTGAGCAGTGTGATGCCACGGCACTCTACTGAGGGCGATAAACTGAGACTCTGTCTCTACAAAAAAAAAATACATTTAAAAGAAAACCTTTAAAATCGTAGTACTCTAAAGTCAAATGAATGTCTCAGGCAACTGTTCTGAGTTCTTCTTCATCTTTAAATCATCCCACCTCGGCACCAGCCTTGGGAGGAAGATAAGATGAAAAAGCTCACTGGAGAAAGGAGGGAAAATAAGTGAATCATGTTTGTGAGCAGAGGGCAGTAAGAATAGCTTCAGTTGCCACAGAACACCTAAACCAGACTCTTATTTTACAACTGTTATTTGTGACCAAAATGGATGTGTTGGCTCAGTGCCCTTAGCACATTGGTTACAGCGCCAGCCACATACACCAAAGGTGGTGGGTCTGAATCAGGCCCGGGCCAGCTAACCAACAATGACAACTGCAACAAAAATAGCCGGGCGTGGATGGTGCCTGAGGCTCAGTGAGAAGAGTGCTGGACCTATATACTGAGAGTGGCGGGTTTGAACCTAGCCCGCTAAACTGCAAAAAACAAACAAACAAAAAAATACAACAAATAGCCGGGCATTGTGGCAGGCACCTGTAGTCCCAGCTACTTGGGAGGCTGAGGCAAGAGAATCACTTGAGCCTGAGTTTGAGGTGGCTGTGAGCTATGACACCACAGCACTCTACCCAGGGCAACATAGTGTGACTCTGTCTCAAAAAAAAAAAAAAAAAAAAAAAAAAAGAATGTGTTATGTTAAAAGTATACAACTTTTCCCATAGAGACACAATCAGATAGTGGTTACAAGAGGCTGGGGAGAAGGGAGGCAACTGGTTGTAAATACGAGGACTCACGGGAACTTTTTGAGTGGGTATGATGGAAACATTCTATATCATAACTTTAATGGGATATCAAGACTATACATTTGTCAAAATGCATCAAACTATACTTATGAGCAAATTTTACTGTAGTTAAAAGTATAATTAGCCTAACTTTAAAAGATGTACATAAATTTTCAATTCCCAAAGCCCCCTTGGCAAAACATAAATCAAAAATATTAACCCAGGGCTGGGCCCAGTGGCTCACACCTGTAATTGTAGCACTCTGGGAGGACAAGGCAGGTGGATTGCCTGAGCTCACAGGTTCAAGATCAGCCTGAGAAAGAGCAAGACCCCGGTCTCTAAAAAATAGCTGGGGATTGTGGCAAATGTCTGTAGTCCCAGCTACTCAGGAGGCTAAGATAAGAGAATCACTTGAGCCCAAAAGTTTGAGGTTGCTGTGAGCTGTGATGCCACAGCATTCTACTGAGAGCAACAAGACTCTGTCTCAAAAGAAAAAGAAAAATAAATAAATAAATATTAAACCTAAAGCACAATCCTATCTCCCAATTACCCTAGAAACCAACTATTATACCAAGCCATTATAATTATTAATAATTGCAAAAAGCCCACATTAGAAGCCAATATAAGGGAAACTCCCTCCCAAGATAGAAGCCCACTCTACACCAACTCCCCCTAGGAATACAAGGGACCCAGTGAGGAGACAAGACAGGGTAGATGTACTGTGAAAATCTTTCTTTTATTATTGTCTTGTGGCAAAATAACATTTTCTACAAATAAGTCACTTAGTTTACTTTGAACACAACGAAAATCCAAACTGGAATGAGGACCTCGGGTAAAGTGGGAAAGAGGAAGGTCAGATCAGGTCATTGATGTTTCTTATATTCTGTGAAAAATAGATTTACAGGGAAAAAAATAGACTTTTGCAACTTCAATGACTTTACATGATCTTTTGTAAAAGAAGGGGTAAATCCACCTCCCCCACATCCTTTTGTGACATGGAATGTAATGTGATGGTTTAACAATTAGGCTCCTACACCAGGTATAGCAGCACCCTCTGCATTAGGAATCCTTGTGCACTGCAAAGGAGACTGTGCTTTGAATTTTAAAACACACTGTCCCCATCCCCAAATCTCACTGATGTCATTGTAACACTGGCCACCAGAAGAAAGTAACTTAACAGAGAAAGAAAGAGTACCCTGGGGCCTACTGGGGATTAGGACACACTAAGACAAGACTTGCTCAATTTGTACATTAGACACAGAGTATTAAATCCATTCCAGGAAAGAGTTCCACTTCAACCAAAAAATACGCTGAAGATTGCCTAATCACTGCCATTTCAAGAATCACCGGCCGCTACCACCCCCAAATCACTATTCCTAGGTACTGAAAATGAAATGGTGCGAAGATAGACAAGTCTTCAGGAAGCCTACGCCCCTAAAATATGTTTTCTTTGCAAGACAGCTTCAAGCTAACACCTAAGTAAACAATATAGAATGAAATAAACCAGAATCTTCCTTGGAAAACCTAGAAGGGCATCTTACCCCAAAGGCTGTATAGGAAAGGAAAGGCCCTCTCCAGGAGATTCTAAGGCAAGGGACAGGAGCAAGATTGGAGAGGAAAGGGTGCAGGCAGTAGGTACTGCTGCACCAGGTGGGCCTGCTACTCTGCTGGGATGTGTTCCCTGGAGAAGCTGCCTCTCAGATGCCAATCCTTAACAGAAGGCACAGTCCCCATGCAGGTAGTTTTTTCCCCACTCACTGTATCACCCACAAGGTAACTGCCATCAGCAGTCTGGATGCCTTAATAACATGGCAGCTTGCTTCACTGTCTGAATGGTTCCGTTACTTTTAGAGAAGGTATGACTTCCAATTTTTTCTTCAACTCTGGTACAAAAGCTTGAATTTCAAACTCACACTAGTTAATAGCCCAGAGTGGTAATGCTGCTCAAAATTTCCTGGGCAGCTAGACACAAGAAATCAGAGCCCTAGATATAGAACATCAAACCTTCAAGAGCAGAAGATGGCAAATCTCTGTCGAACTGGGAAGACTGAGCACTTGGTCTCAGTCTCCATTGAGACTAAGGCTAATTAATAGGGAAGGGACACAGCCAAAATACCCACCTTCCCCCTCTTCCAGGTCTACTTCCCAAACAAAGTTAACACTGAGAATAAGAGAGCGCCCACTAGGGTGCTAGAAATGGTCTGTCCAAGAGCACATTTCTAAAACACTCAACTAAGCAGAGCTCTGGGCAGCTTCAGAAACCACATAATATTTAAATATCAAACAGTAGAAACTCCCAGTTGAGACTCTGTCACAGAGAGAAGGGATTGTTGCTAAGCTTGACAGGAACATAGAAATCCCACTTTTGAGATGCCACAATGAGAAAGAGAAGGTCAGAAAACAGTGCTGATGTCTGTCTGTAGATGAGGAGGGAAAGCAGCATTACAGCTTTCCCCAGCAGCGTAAGAGACAGAGCCACACTTAAGGCACCGGATTTGTAGCTGAATCCGCTCAGGTCACAAGGAACCAATTCCATAGAGCACATGGTTTATTCCCTCCCTCAGGGTTGAATCCAGTGCCAGCAGGGGAGTAATCTCAGGCTTTCTCAGTGAGAAAGCTGCCAGCATATGACATGACCAAGACTGTGGCCTGGCACAAAGCACTGGGCCAAAGTTCAAAGACACTCATACTCTAGAATCCAAACAGGGAACAACACTGGTTGGTGAATACACAGGAACTTCCGTGGCAAGGTGCTGTCTCTGCTTTCTCTGATCCCATAAGGCCTCTCTTTCTCCCAAGCACCTGAGGATGCCCCTCTCCTGACACAGGTACTGTGAGGCCTCACAGTGACTTACTACACCCGTGAGCCCTCCCTACTGACACCCTTCTATCAATGCTAAAAGGACTCTGGCCACATCAATCATCCTATCAGAGGGTCATGGATTCTGGGCTGAGCTCCTAAAGCCATCCACATAGCCAACCATAGGGAGGTGAAGAGGTGACATAGTTTATCCAATAATGGTCTGAGGACAAAAGTAGCACACCTGCACAGACATGCAAGGATTTTTTTTTTTTTTTTGAGAACACATCACTCTGACAGACCACCTCACCTATTTTGCCCTTTCTAAACATTCATATCAATTTCAACTAGCAGTTTGAAGGATCAGCATGTGCATTACTTATGACTGATCTACCAGGCTGGTTCCAGAAACTACTTCAGAAGAAAAGCAGATAGGAAAACCCTCCTAAATAAGAAATCTACAAAGTTTCAGAAGCAAATCCCCATCAAAAGCCAATCCTCCAGGCTATGCTGTGTAGAGAAAATCAAATCTCTCCTTTAAAGTTACTGCTTGTTCATAAGTATACTTCTTCCAACATGAGCCAGATTAGCCTCAGGAGCCTGATTAATACATCAGAACTCTCACCACACTTCACATATGCTGGGAACACCACTGACATTTTATAAAACCTCCCCAAAACAAGTCTGGACATAAAAAAAACAAAATACAATGAGGCCTATTCTGGCCTTGAGAAATATTAGCATTCCATGAACAAAACTGACATGTTCTGTTTCACAAGATACTCAAGTTAGGAGCCAGGAAAACAGAGCAAGCTCATCTGTCCTCCAAACTGAGATCAGGAAGGCACTGCCAGAACAAAACCTTGGTTTATCCCTAGGAGGGCAGGCCAAGGACCCTGGGAGTCAGACAGGTCAGCAGGTCTCTCTGCAAAATGGTCCTCTCAGTTTGGCAGTGTCATCTACACCTCAACCCTTGGCACCACCCCTCCCCTCCATCCCCTTTCAAGTTACTTCCAGTTGGTTTAAGAGGAAGCACAGGCTGAAGGCAGCCTGCACTGATGGCAACACTGCAAGTGAGAGGAGGCGGCGCCTTGGATTGGGAAGAGCTGCTAAGCTGCGGGCAGGCCCCACCACAGGCTTCTCACTCAGCAGGCACAACTAAGCCTCGAGAGACCGAGGCTTGTCAGGAAAAACCAGCAGATAACTAGACTACAAGAAAATCAACTTTTTTATCTGGAATCCAGGAGACTTATCCTAATCTTTTACTTTACTATAGTACTTCTGTGACCTAAGGGGCAGGGGAAGAAAGGGAAGGAAAAATACTGGGAAGAGAACATAGCACTGCTTGGCACCTCCCTTGAAGCACAGGAAACTGCCACCTCGGCCTTGGCTTCCTAGGGCAAGATTCCAGGTGTGTGTTGACAAACTGCAGCTTCAATCACCTCTGTGTGCCAAGGTCTTGTGGCCACAGCAAAGCACCTCTCCTGCCTGTTCCTGTTGCAGTTACTGGCCCCCGTTATAGGCATAATCAGCCTTGTTGTGCATTATCAGCTTGTTGTCGACAAAATAGAAGCTGTCAGAGCGGGTCTCATAAGGATTCTCAATCATCAGACGAACTGCAAGTCAGGGAAAGAAAAAAGAGCAGAGTTACATGTGAGTCTGCCACATAGACAAGGTGGGAAAAAAACTAATATCCTCTCAAAAATGAGAATACGAAGGTACTGCCAGGCTGAAACCTTAGTCTCTCCCCAGGAGGACTGGCCAATAACCTTGAGAGTCAGACAGGTCTCAGGCCTCTCCATAAAATGGACCTCTCGGTCTGGCAGCATCACCTGTGCCTTGATGCCTCAAACCAAAATAAGCCAGCATTTCAAGTTGAGTACGCTCTACCAGAATAATGAGGTGGGAGCAGAGGGAGCTAGCCCTTGACAGCTGGGGAAGACCACAGAGGCCCTCAAGCTGAACATGAACTCTACTTCAACATAAGGAAGCAACTACCTCACTGATACCGCCCTCCTCGGTCATCTAGGTCCCCAGGGAAACTCGGTGACTCGCTTGCCAACACAGACACCAACAGCCTGCTCACTCAGTCCTCTCAGCTGACTGCAGCAAGCTCTGACCTCTGAGACATTCCAGTCCCTGTTCAATGCCTCACTATGCCCACTTCACACCAGCACCCCTGACAACCAAAGGAATTGTAGTTGTGAATGAGTGTTGGGAACAGGCTCAGGTATTAACTCATAAATGAACAAAAAATAGGTCGGCCTGTCTTGGGATCGAAACTGAAGTCTCCAGTTTGTTCAGGTAATTGCTCAGACCTTTTTAACCATACGGGAGAGTAAGGATAATTAACAGTCACTACCTTTGACCAGTTTAGAGTTAACAATTACATGCCATTTGAGTCGTTTGGAGGAAATGCTATTGTTCACCACAGTTTTCAAAAGGTGAGACGGAGCTGGGTACAGTGGCTCATGCCTGTAATACTAGCACTCTGGGAGGCTGAGGCAGGACTGCTTGAGCTCAGGAGTTTGAGACCAACCTCAACAAGAGTGAGACTTTGTCTTTACTAAAAATAGAAAATCTAGCTGGGCTTGGTGGCACATGCCTGTAGTCCCAGCTACCTGGGAAGCTGAGGCAAGAGGATCACTTGAGCCCAAGAGCTTGAAGTTGCTGTGAGCTATAACGCCATGGCACTCTACCTAGGGTGACACAGTGAAACTATCTTAAAAAACAAAACAACAAAAGAATTAAAAAAAAAAAAAAGATGAAAAGGTGAAACTGATTTTTTTAAGTTGCTCGAATCCATCCAGGCCAAAGTCATTTAGTTTATATCTAGAATAGGCCAGGTGCGGTGGCTCATACCTGTAATACTAACACTCTGGGAGGCTGAGGTGAGTAGACTGCTTGAGCTCACTAGTTTAAGACCAACCTAAGCAAAAAGGGAGTCCCCCATCTCTACTAAAAATAGAAAAACTGGCTCGGCACCCGTAGCTCAGTGGTTGGGGTGCCGGCCACTATACCAGGGCTGGCAGGTTTGAACCCAGCCTGGGCCTGCTAAACAACGACAACTGCAACAGCAACAAAAAAAATAGCTGGGCATTGTGGCAGGTGCCTGTAGTCCCAGCTACTTGGGAGGCAGAGGCAAGAGAATCACTTAAGCCCAAGAGTTTGAGGTTGCTGTGAGCTGTGACACCACAGCACTCCACCGAGGGTAGCATAGTAAGATTCTGTCTCAAAAAATAATAAAATAAAATAAAAATAAAAATAGAAGAACTGGGGCAGTGCCTATGGCTCAGTGAGTAGGATGCCAGCCCCATACACTGAGGGTGACATGTTCAAACCCAGCCAGGCCAAACTGCAACAAAAATAGCTGGGCATTGTCACAGGCATCTATGGTCCCAGCTACTCAGGAGGCTGAAGCAAGAGAATCACTTAAGTCTAAGAGCTGGAGGTTGCTGTGAGCTGTGATGCTATAGCACTCTACGGAGGGTAACAAAGTGAGACTCTGTCTCTAAAAAAAAAGAAAGAAAGAAAGAAAGAAAATTAAAAAAAAAATAGAAAAACTAAAGCAAGAGGATCACTTGAGCCCAAGAGTTATAGGTTGCTGTGAGCTATGAGGCCAATGCACTCTACCCAGCTGGAGACTCTGTCTCAAAAAAAAAAGTTTATATCCATAATATTGACTTCTAAACTTTTAGCTGATCTGGTTTTATGGGCAAAACTTGTACCTTTATATCTTTATATATAATCTTTTCTTGAAAGTATTTATATGTTCCAGGCAGCTCGTGAAGAGGGGTTTTCTTCTTTCTTTTTTTTTTTTTTTTGAGATACAGTCTCACCATGTCACTCTTGGTAGAGTGCCATGGCGTCACAGCTCACAGCAACCTCAAACCCTTGGGCTGAAGTGATTCTCTTGCCTCAGCCTCCCAAATAGCTAGGACTACAGGTGCCCACCACAATGCCCAGCTATTTTTTGTTGCAATTGTCATTGTTGGTTAGCTGGCCTGGGCCAGGTTTGAACCCACCACCTTTGGTGTATGTGGCTGGCACCGTATCCACTGTGCTACAGGCGCTGAGCCGTGAAGAGGGGTTTTTAAGCCAGGATTAGATGCTGACATAAACTCCCTCCCCCAAGTCAGCAATCCTCATTTTACCTGGGAACAGCACTGCCACATGAGTAAAGAGTGCCTGCTTTTCAGAAAATGACAACCTTCAAGGACCTAAGATTCTGAGAGAACCAGTCAGCAAATGTGGATCCTTCTCCACAATAGAACTAAAGCCCATCACTACTTACAGGATTGTACTCATATCCTCATAAATGCCTTGAAGCCAAGAATGCTAACCTTAGACAGCTAGGCCAAAGTCACAAAACTAATCAAGCCTATTTTTTCTCTCTAGTTCAGTTTCTATCTTCCCTCACCTAGGCTCCACGGTGGTCTTCTCCCTCTGGAACCTCCCCCAGTTCCACCTCCACATACCTGCAGGCCCCCTCTCTTCTAAGACGCTTCTATCCTTTCGCTCCTCACCCACAACAGTTCCCTCACTCCTGCTGGATCTAGTCTAACAGTTTATTACAAGCGTCCTCAAACTACTGCCTGCGGGCCACATGCAGCCCACCTAGGACATTTATCTGGCTTGCTGGGTGTTTTTGCCGCTGCCACCTGTCCTGTTTAGCAGCCAACTCATCCCGGGGCCCACAGTCCGGCACTCCAACAGTCTGAGGGACAGTCAACTGGCTCCCTGTTTAAAAAGTTTGAGGACCCCTGGTTTATCATATCAGCCCTCTGCTTTGTACAGCATGAGAAAGAAGAGGTTCCTCAGGCCTTGATTCTATTTAGCCTGCAGTTTCCCATCCAGCTGATTAAGGAAAAGGTGAAGGGCCAATGAGTAGGGCACAGTGGAAAACTGATGACAGAGAACACCAGAGGCACTTTATGTGATGGGAATTCCAGAAGTTGTCACAGGCATCCTCTTTTCTCCCTCAGGCACTGGCATTCCCACAGCAGGCACCTAAAAGGATGGTCTGTATTTATTAAAAACTTTCACTGCTGGCTTGGCGCCCATAGCTCAGTGGCCACATGCACCAGGGATGGTGGGTTCAAACCTGGCCAGGGCCTGCTAAACAATGACAACAACAAAAAAATAGTCGGGTGTTGTGGCAGGCGCCTGTAGTCCCAACTACTTAGAAGGCTGAGGCAAGAAAATTGTGTAAGCCCAAGAGTATAAGGTTGCTGTGTGCTATGATGCCATGGCACTCTATTGAGAGCAACATAGTAAGACTCTGTCTCAAAAAAAAAAAAAAAAAACAACCTTCATTGCTTCCCCCATAGGTAGAGTTAAGAGTTTGAAACAAGAGCCAGGAGCCATAGGAAATGAGAAGCCAGAGGTCAATGACTAGATCCACATGGAACAAATAAGTTTCAAGGTTTTTTCCTTCAAGCCCTCAGAATCTAGAAAGCTGTAAGAGGTAGGGGATACATACTGACATCCTCAGAAAGCTGAGGAAACTCATAGATGTGTTCACAAGTGTTCCTGCTGCTAGGGATGCAGAAGCCAAAATCAAAGTCAAAGTTTTTCAGCAAGCGTTCCCGGAAATAATGCCGTTCGATCATCCGGAAGTTTGACACAGGTTTGTCTCCCACTGTGAACTCCACCCTGCAAAATAAGCCTCTGTGAGTCCCACTTTGCCTCCTCCCTCCTCTAAAGCCAAACCCAAACCCAACGGAGAACATTGTGAATAGGAGAATGTTCTCCCCTAGGGAAATAATGATACTCACGTAGCCCCAACCGTCCGAAGGCGGAGAAATGCTGGTGTGAACTGGTAGCGGACAAAACGTCCCGCACTGATATCCACATCTCTACCTTCCTCCTCCTCCTCCTCCTCCTCTTGGTCTGAAAGAACACACAGAATCTTCAGTACACCACTCGGCACACTATCAGTCTAAGAGTTCTTCCACCAGTCCAAACAGCAACCAGCTCACAGTACCAATGACAAGGATGTCAATATTTACTGAATACTTGCTGCATGCCAGGTCCTGTGTTAAATGCCTCATAAAATTCTAACAAGGGGGGGGCAGTGCCTGTGGCTCAGTAAGTAGGGTGCTGGCCCCATATACCAAGAGTGGGGAGTTTGAACCGAGCCCTGGCCAAACTGCAACAAAAAAATAGCCAGGCGTTGTGGTGGGTGCCTGTAGTCCCAGCTACTCAGGAGGCTGAGGCAAGAAAATCGCCTAAACCCAGGAGATGGAGGTTGCTGTGAGCTATGATGCCACAGCACAGCACTCTACCAAGGGCAACAAAGTAAGACTCTGTCTCTAAAAAAAAAACAAGGCTGTGAGGCATTATCTCCAGTTTACAGATTAGGAAGCTCAAGTTCAGAGAAGTTAGGTAGCATGTTCAAAGTCCCTCAAATAATAAATGAAGGGACAGAGATTTGGATCCAGGTCCACCTGACTCGAGGTCTGCTCTTCAATAGTAAGTTTTTTGTTTTGTTTTGAGACAAAGTCTCACTTTGTCACCCTTAGTAGAGTGCCATGAATCACAGCTCACAGCAACCTCCAACTCTTTTTTTTTTTTTTTTTGAGACAGAGCCTCAAGCTGTCCCCCTGGGTAGAGTGCCGTGGCATTACAGCTCACAGCAACCTCCAACTCCTG